AAAAAAAAAAAAAAAAAAAAAAAAAGAAATTACAGATCCAGGTATTTGGCCTAGGACATTATTTTCAGGATTTTGTTTTCTTTCTTTCTTTCTTTCTTTCTTTCTTTCTTTTTTTAAACATCATTATTGGAGTATAATTGCCTTACAGTGTTTTGCTAGTTTCTGCTAGGATTTTGTTTTCTAGCATATTTTCACTTCACTATACAGCAAATGTTTCCATAGAATTTATAGACATCTTTTTGTACCTTTTTTCTTGACTTTGGGAATTAGCTTTGTGACATTCTTTTGGTCACTGTATAGAGTGTGGTATTCACTTCCCCCACTGTGACTGCTAAGTTGAGGGCAGGAAACTTGTTTAAAAATAAGAGTATTAACAACAGTAATAAAAAGTATTTTAAGTGCAGGTGATTTGTTCTTAATTTTGAAAAAAAGGGGTTTCCTAGGGATGGTTATGGCTGTTAGAGCACTAACATCTATCTTCAAATAGATGCTCTATTCAAATAGAGCATCTCTTTGAAGATAAAAACAGCCAGGTATCATTTAGCTGTCCTGTAGAAAGTAGGATAGTTGCAGAGTTCTCAAGCATTACCTCCCAATCTGTCACTGATGTTTATAATGGTGCACTGCAGAACCCATGAACTTTTAAAAGGGGATGCAGACTAGGTCCAACTATAAGGATGGAGCCTAATTATTTCCTTTTAAAAGACCAATTATATGTTCAGAAAGCCTAGTGGTAATTGGAAAGAAAGATCAGCATCATTTTAGCCGACTTTTTCTTGAAGTTGAGAAGATAATGGAATTATCTGAGATCTACCATCAAAGAGGAAACAAAATATCCTTTTACTGTAAGAATTTCAAATCTTAACATTTAAAAGATATGATATAGCTCAATAAAAATAAGGAAGAGTTAGTATTTTTAATGGTTTGCTCTGATCAGATTTGTTTAATACGTCCAGCCACACTCCAGAATATAGAAATCAGAATTTTGTTTTTCTAGCAACAATAAGTTGTTGTTTATAAGTTGTTCATAAATAGTGGGTTCAGATCTATTCGTAGCAAATAAGAGAGTTCATATGGCATAGGTTAAAAAAAAAAAAAAATCCAAATTTGGTGGGAAAAAAATAAAGGCTGAAAGTCAGTGTTGCATCTCTTCTTCCCATTTTGTAGACCCGTTTTCTGTAAAGCACACACAGCCCTCCTCTTAGGGGATAGAGCTGTCGTGGGAGCCACATGTGGAATTTAAAACTGTAAAAAGAAACTGGTAGAATTAATTTTTAACAACTGTATCTAAACCAATATATCTAACAGATCACCATTTTGATATATAATTAATAAATACATTTACTTTTTACACTCTTTTCTGGTACTGAGTCTTGCCAATTCAGGGTCTCTTACATGAAATGGCCTCAGCGTGCACCTGTGGCATCTCCTGTGGCGCCTGCTCCACATGGACCATCCCCAGGAGAGTGGACGAGTTGCACAGCCATCTCCACACCCATCTGCACAGGCCTTGCCTCTGAGGCTGTGCTGGTTTCTTTGCACAGTATAGGGTCGACAAAGCTGTTTGAGTCCATTACATCAAATGGGAACAGAAGACTTCCTTTAACAAAGGAAAAAAACACCCTTTTCCCCCTGATTACCCAAGGAACACATGCTTGTTAAAGAATGTAGGGCACAGCAAATCACACAAGAGATGGTAGATGATTCTGAGAGGGGTCGCTTGCTTTATTAGATTGGTCTTTAAGCTGAAAGACCCCAGAGGGACCGTGTCATCTTACTTTTGATCATGTTTGTGAGGAAACACGGGCTCTCAATGGGATGCCGATTGAAATATGGCATGTCTTAAACACATGGGCTACCAATGGATGAAGGGGAACTCCATGAAATGTACAGGTGCAAATTGTTTTCAAAGTGACTGTGCCGACCCTGCAAGTGAACAAGATGGGCCGAGTGACGCGTACGGGCGCTTGTCTCCAGCGACAGCAGAGCCGTGGTGGTCAGTGCGGTCCTAGTGGGATGGGCCTGGCCACGTGCTGCCCTGTGCTGGACCGACATCCAGCCGGGATAAGGCCTGACTGACTGTGGGTCTGTATGTGTTCCTCTGGGTGAGGGGCAGGAAGGCGACCTGCTGTCTTCAGTGACTTTTCTCAGCACAGACAGTACAGGAGCTTTGGCTAAATAATAAGCCATTGTGAACATATCACCAGGCCGTTAAATTGGAATTTAATCTAAAAAATGTTGAAGATTTCTGTCTTTATTAAACAGTTACAGAGATGGTTTCCATTAGAAGACTTCTTCCTGCAGGGCTGGAAGTTGAAGATTGAATTGCTCTGAGGATGCTGTACTCATTTACATTGAGTACTTGTTGGCTAAAATGAAGACTGAATTAGAGTTCCCTGTGTTTAGTGTTTAAAATGGTTTTTCTCTCTGTTCTCTGTGGTGTCACTGCAGTCTGCTCTGGACATTACGAAATCCATTTCAATCTCTGGACACTAACCAGAATGAAGTCACTTAAGTCCCATGGTTTACTTTTTCCATTTAAAAAATTCTTGTTAGGGACTTCCCTGGCAGTCCAGTGGTTAGGACTTGGCACTTTCACTGCAGTGGCCCAGGTTCAATCCCTGGTCGGGGAACTAAGATCCTGCACGCCACGTGGCACAGCCAAAAAACAAATTAAAAATTCTTGTTATTCTTTTTTAAAATTGAAAGCTGTGTATAATATCAGTAAGAATGGTACTCAGGGCTTCGTGCAGTGGTTCTTGTTAGGGACTTCCCTGGCAGTCCAGTGGTTAGGACTTGGCACTTTCACTGCAGTGGCCCAGGTTCAATCCCTGGTCGGGGAACTAAGATCCTGCACGCCACGTGGCACAGCCAAAAAACAAATTAAAAATTCTTGTTATTCTTTTTTAAAATTGAAAGCTGTGTATAATATCAGTAAGAATGGTACTCAGGGCTTCCCTGGTGGTGCAGTGGTTAAGAATCCACCTGCCAATGCAGGGGACACGGGTTCGACCCCTGGTCTGGGAAGATGCCACATGCTGTGGAGCAACTAAGGCCATGCACTACAACTACTGAACCCACGTGCCACAACTACTGAGCCCTGTGCCGCAACTACTGAGCACGTGTGCCACAACTACTGAAGCCCGTGCGCCTAGAGCCTGTGCTCCACAACAAGAGAAGCCACCGCAGTGAGAAGCCCGCGCACTGCAACAGAGTAGCCCCTGCTCGCCACAACTAGAGAGAGGCTGCATGCAGCAACGAAGACCCAACACGGCCAAAAATAAATAAATAACAAATTTTAAAAATGGTACTCAGAAATAAATATTGAACTCTGTAAGTAACTGATAGAGTCCCTGATGGAAAACCTGCTGCTCTGGGTCTCCCCTCCTCTTGGTCTTGACCCCAAGTTTAGGTGCTGGGACAGAAATACCTGATTATATAATTTTTGTGTTTTAATTAAATAAGCAGATTTAACTAAGCAGAACGGCTTCTGATAGGATAGTTTGAGTTGAATTTGGAATCTAGATATTTGGTCCCTCTATAATCACCATCTCGTTGAATATACTCCCTGTGCTGGGCTGGTGAGTATTAGCACCAGCTTCGTGAAGCAGAAATAATTAGCAGTGATGTGAGGGAGGGGTCGTCCTGCGGGTAGCAGGAGGCTCAGGAGGCTCTGGAGACTGGGGTGAGAGAGAGGAGAGAGAGAGAGAGAGCGAGAGAGAGCGAGAGAGAGGGAGAGAGAGGGAGAGAGAGAGCGCGAGCGAGCGAAAGGTAAGCCGAGCTGAAGGAGGGCACGCGCTGCCGGGCACCCCCAGTCTATGGAGCGGGGTAAGATGGCGGAGGCGGAGAGCCTGGAGACAGCGGCGGAGCACGAGCGGATCCTCCGAGAGATCGAGAGCACCGACACGGCCTGCATCGGGCCTACGCTCAGGTCTGTCTATGATGGTGAGGAACATGGACGATTCATGGAGAAGCTTGAAACTCGCATCCGCAATCATGACCGAGAAATTGAGAAAATGTGCAGCTTTCATTACCAGGGCTTTGTGGACTCTATAACGGAACTGCTGAAAGTAAGAGGAGAAGCCCAGAAACTCAAAAATCAAGTGACGGATACTAATAGAAAACTACAACATGAGGGAAAGGAAGTAAGCTGTTGGCATAATTCAGGTTTTTTTCCCTCTTGCTAAGCTGGTAATAGCAATGGAAGAGCTGAAGCAGTGTCGACTACAACAGAGAAATATTTCTGCCACTGTTGATAAATTAATGCTGTGTCTTCCAGTCCTGGAGATGTATAGCAAACTGAGGGACCAGATGAAAACTAAAAGGCATTATCCTGCACTGAAAACTCTGGAACATCTAGAGCATACCTATCTGCCTCAAGTAAGCCATTATCGATTCTGCAAGGTGATGGTGGACAATATCCCCAAGCTTCGAGAAGAAATTAAGGATGTTTCTATGTCTGATCTCAAAGACTTTCTGGAGAGTATCCGCAAACATTCAGACAAAATTGGAGAGACTGCCATGAAGCAAGTAGGTCTTGGGTTTATGATAGGTTGGCCAATGACTTTGCAAGTATTCTGTTAAACACAGATTTCTTTTTGCTAAATGTCTTAATTGTTTCTTGTCATTTTAGGGAAGTCCTTCATCTTTATGGGAACACATGATTTTAAAATATCTTATTTTCTTAGCAGAGCAATGAATTATTTACTAGTGTATTTTGCTCTGTGAATATTCAATACATACTGATTGATTGTGATGGTTTATATTGGTGCTTTGAAGAGGCTTTTCTGTTTTTTGAATACTTTTCTTGACTTTGGGTATGATTTGAAGCCCAAGATTTTTTTTTCCCCCCAAGATTTTTAAAAGATCTCTTTCTAGTTAATGAGCTAAATTGTGCTGCAGGTACCTTTGGTTGATTATTTACTATGTAAGCAAGATGTCATGTTATATATGAATATTTCTATAATTGTTATTTCTGATATCAATGGGTATCAATGAAAAAAGGCCTTTTGGGAAAATGCTGGGAATTATGATCACAGAAAGGAATTTGTGTATAGCTTATAAATTAATGTGTTGAAAGTGTTTTGATTTTTTTTCTTTCAATATCTTCATCTCTAAGTTATGGAAGCCACAAGGAACGTCCAGAAGTACTTTGTCGTTATGAATAAAAAACAGTAATAGGGCTTCCCTGGTGGCGCAGTGCTTGAGAGTCCGCCTGCCGATGCAGGAGACGCGGGTTCGTGCCCCGTTTCGGGAAGATCCCACATGCCGCGGAGCGGCTGGGCCCGTGAGCCATGGCCACTGAGCCTGCGCGTCCGGAGCCTGTGCTCCGCAAATGGGAGAGGCCACAACAGTGAGAGGCCCGCATAACGCAAGGAAAAAAAAAAAAAAAAAAACAGTAATAATTTGCAGTAAAAAAAAAAAAAAAAGAAGTAATTAGCAGTGAGACCATTTGCCCTGGAGGGGTCCCTGGGCCCTCCCACACGAGTGCTCATATGTGTGTCAGTGAGAGCAGGTGGTCGGATGACGACACAGTGGCAACGTTTCTATTAGAAATTGTCATAATTTCCTTTGAAATTATTCCTACGCAAAAAAAAACGTTTTAGGCCCCATCCCTACATTCAAATTTTGACCCTCTTAAAGCTGTTGTCTCATTTTCCCTCAGAATGTATGGCTTTCTATTTGTAAAAATATATACGCTGGGGCTTCTCTGGTGGTGCAGTGGATAAGAATCCGCCTGCCAATGCAGGGGACACAGGTTCGATCCCAGGTTCTGGAAGATCCCACATGTCGCGAGCAACTAAGCCCGTGCGCCACAACTACTGAAGCCCACGTGCCACAACTGCTGAAGCCCGTGCGCCTAGAGCCCATGCTCCGCGACAAGAGAAGCCACCACAGTGAGAAGCCCGCGCACTGCAACGAAGAGTAGCCCACGTACAGCCACGAAGACCCAACACAGCCAAAAAATATATATGTATACATATATGTATATATATACACACACTAATTTTGAGATTTCAAGATTTTTTTTCTAGTAACTTGGATCACTTAGGAACAATGAGAACATTTTAATTAGCTTGAGTAACATCCCTTTGTAGTTCTCACCTGCTTCACAAGGTCATTTTATAGATAAGAAAACAGGTAACGGGCTGCCAACAGCCAGAGTCTTAACCTGAATTTGGTTGTTTTGACCCCAGATCCTTTGCTCTTTTGTGTAGAGGTTAGCTTCAGGGATTGTTTGGCTTGGAAACAAGAGTCTTAGTTAACACACTCCAGAAGAAAAGTTCTCTGGGCCGGCCAGTCAGTGCTTCTTAGACGTTGTTTCTGTGGGCCCCACGGCTCCTGGGCTGGTAGAAGGAGCGAGACGCACGTGCGGGTGTGTGGGAAGGTGCCGGAGCCTCGCAGGCAGGAGAGGAGGCTCTGGGGGCACGGGGGCGCTGCGCGTTAGACGGGGTGGTCTGCAGGCCAGGTGCGCACTTGTGTGTTGCTGGTTCTCTCTTCAGTGTGCTCGGGACCGTGGGTGCAGGGCTGGGGTGGGGGCGCGGCGAAGTAAGGGGTCTGCGCTCTCCCTCCCTGGTGGAGGCTCCTCGGTATTGCAGTGCCAGCACCTTGGAGTGACTGTGTCTGAAACAGCGCTAA